ACACACACACAGAGTGATACACACAGTGACACACACACAGAGTGATACACACAGTGACACACACACACACACAGAGGGGGTTGGGAGTCATTTGGGTTTTCTCCACTTCTACCTTATCCTCAGCATTTTCAGTTCATCTTAAAGATTATTTTCGAGTACGCTATGACAAGTGGGATAGTTCACTGTAATGTCCACAAAGCACAGAGATGGTGTCCCAAAGTCGGACAAGATGGATGGTACCGAGGACTCAGCAATTCCCCGAGCATCTTTTCTAACAGCTATGAGTGTGACGTCTGGAATGTGTCGATTAAGGTCCAGGCAGGAAAATGCAGTCCTCTCAACATGGAGACTGGGTGGCCCTGGTGTTGGGAGGAATCAAAGCGCAAGCGGGGGATGGCGGTGTTGGGCAGAGATTAGCGTCTATATAGTGTTCTTGCATCTAGGGCTGGAGACTGATACGGAGGGGCCAGGACTGTGCAGAACGGGAGCCCAGGTGGTGCTGGGATCCTGGAGCACTGAGGACAGGACAAGATGCCAAGGTTCAGTCTGGGTGGGATGGAGAAAACTATTCAAGCTGTTGTAAGGCCTGTGGCAGAAGGGTGACTAACAGAACTCAAAGAAAGAAGAGTTCATTAGGAAGGAACAGCCTTTCTCTCTTCCTCCTGCCCTCTAACCATCCAGAAATGCCTCCCAGGAAACCAAATGGAAAGCCAGCTGGGAAGGGAGTCGTGTTCTGGGGCTCTCAGAGTCAAAGCAGAGCATGGAGAGGTGGGACCTAGGCTGAGACCAGGCTGGGAGATGACAGGACATAAGGAGGCCTTGCACCCTGAAATTTCCTTGGTAGCGCAACCCTGTAGCACCCCTGGAGAGTGTCCTTTAGTCACAAGAAGGAGCCCACACTCTCACCCCACTGTATCGCTTTATTTCCACCTCTCCTTACCTTCTCCAGTCTGGCACGTGGGAAGGCAGGTGAATAGGTAACCTGTTGTTGATTTAATTTGGATCTGTTTGCTTTGTATCTTTCCTAGCATGGTGCACAGATTAATTATGTCTATGTTTTATTTTGCTTGGTAGCAGAATGTAAACAAATAAAGGAAAATCTGCTTTCTTTTGCCTACAGGAAGCCACACTGCTTACCCACTAGAGAGCCTGGCTTGAATCAGACATGTCTGCTCCCTGCTCTTTGGTTAGTTTTGTGGCTCAAGGCACATGTTCGTCCCTTGCCTCAGTTTCCTCATCAGATTAAAAGAGGCAGTAAGAGTGAGGTCTTCACTGGTGATGAACCAGATTCTGACCACATCCTAACAGGTCTTTTGACTCAAAGGAATTGAGTGAGTGGCTTACCATTCTGTGACCACCTGATGGATGCAGGGCCGGGGGCGCAGCTTAGGGATGTTCGAGTGAGCAGTTCATCTTTCTGAGTCTTTCGGCAGGGAGGTAAATGGATAAACATGAAGTCTAACTGGAATAGTGTTTGGAGATCCCTTTACTGTGGCTGCAGATGCAGTGAGTGATCAGAGTGGAGACTGTTAAAGAATTGCCATCGTTTAGACTGTGATTTGTGCCCCAAAGCTCCTTTTGTTTGCTCTTAAAAGGGGTGAGGTGCTGAGGCCTCTAAGAGGAGGGGTCCAATGTGTTCTCCCACTTCCTACTTGGCATGGGACTTCTTCTGCATATGCTCCAGTCCAATATGGTGTTGCCTACCATGATGTCCCCACCAGAGCTGATGATGTCATAATGACATGACCTTGACTCTCCAGAACTGTGAGCTAAATGAAGCTATTTTCCTTGTGAAGTTCCCCAGCCTTGAGTATTTCATTATAGCAATGAAAAAAAAAATGGGTTAATTAACATATTCCCACTGGATTATATACCCCACTTCTTGGAGCAGTCTTTAGAGAGCACCAGAAGGGAGCAGTTCCCAGACACTGAATCCTGCAGCTTTGGTATCATGTTCATAGCATCCTATGCAGAAAACAAGAAAGTCACCCTGGAGAAAGCAGCACGCCCTGTGACAGGCATCAGAATGCTGTACTCACACACGGGAAAGCATGCAAGGGGGCGCTGTTGGTCTGAGGACTCCTGAGCTCAGCCAGTGTAGCTGCCTGACTGTGCTGCCTGGTTACTGGATTCTCATACCAGAGAACCGTGAAGCAGACTCGGGGGAGAACTCAGGGTCCCAAGAGCGGCAGCTCAGCTGATGGTGGGTAACTAAGAGAGGAGGAGAAGGAAAGAACCACTGTAGAAGACAGAGGGGTGGCCTCGGATCCTGGAATGCCCAGCAGTGAAGAGGATGGCTTTAGTAGCAGGAGTTTCTATGGTTCGTGAGAAGAAAATGAACCTGATGAACTCGATCCTTTCACAGGAAGACATGTGCCATGCTCTACTGATTCTCTTTGTTATACCGTCTTTAGTTCTTGAACAAGAGAAAGAGCACACAGTTGTGTGGTCGTTAATTTTTAATTGTTGTCTTGACTCAACCAAGAATCACCTAGGAAGAGATTCTTGACTGAAGAATTGTCTAGATCAAGTTGGCCTATGGGCATGGCTGTGGGGGATTGACTTGATTGTCAATGAATGTAGGAAAATCCAGCCTAATGTGGGTGGCACAATTGCCTAGGCAGAGGGGATCTCAAGCAGTTTGAGAAAGGAGAAAGCAAGTTAAATGAACATGCATGGATTCACTTCTCTCTGTTTTGACTGGGTGTGATATGAGTAGCTGCATCAAGTTCCTTCCACTGTGACTCCCCTGCAGTGATGGACTCTCCTGGAACTGTGAGCTGAAACAAACCCTTCCTCCCTTATGTTCCTTTTTTTGGGGGTGTTTTGTTATAGCAGCAGATAACAACACTAGGGTAAACACAGACCTAACTGAAACATCTCCTGTTGCCTCCTGTTCTACATTTCCTTCATCTTCCCTTCCTTGCCTGCAATAGGAAGTGATGTACAGTTCCACGGACACCACAGCCTTCCTTAAACTGTTCCAACTACTGGAATACTCTTGCTCCTTATCTTTAGTGGTGTGGCTCATTCTAGCCTCATGTGACCTCCCAGCTGCCTTCCCTCAAAGAGGATTTTACCCAATCTCTGCCTTTTCACAGGACCCTGGATTTTCTAACCCTAGATTTTGTTTATCAGGGATACACACACTATTTTCATCTTTCAAACAGAAACTAAGTATCTCAGACCCCATTCCAACAAGTAGGTTTAAGCATGTCCAGCCAGCTTTCTCTTGTCACTCCCCACTTCTTCTGCTTTATCTGCACACTTGCATTCTTTTAAGTTTAAGTCAGTGTTTCAGCTAATTCAGCATGAATTCTTACATGGAATTCTTATGTGTCTTGGCAATTTTTCCTGCAGTGGTAGCATGCCACCCTAATATGAGCTGCTCTGGGTTAGAACTTCAGTGTCGCCGGGCGTTGGTGGCGCACGCCTTTAATCCCAGCACTCGGGAGGCAGAGCCAGGCGGATCTCTGTGAGTTCGAGGCCAGCCTGGGCTACCAAGTGAGCTCCAGGAAAGGCGCAAAGCTACGCAGAGAAACCCTGTCTCGAAAATCAAAAAAAAAAAAAAAAAAAAAAAAAAAAAAAAAAAAAAAAAGAACTTCAGTGTCTTGGTCCTGACACTGGCCTCCACCCTCCACCCCCAGCATAGATGAGACTAGATCTCCTGGTAGATGGTTTGCTGTGGATCAAAGGTGAGGATCTATGAGAGGTAGATCACATGTATGAGAGTCAACCTGACATGCGTGAGCTGATCCAGAGTGCAAGCAAGAAATGAGATGTCCCCTGCGGGTCTCGAGTAAGCAGCCTGCAGAATGTCTCCCGTGGCCAAGGCTTCCTTATGAAATATTCCTTTCTTTTGTTCCTCTGACCTCAAAGGGGATTTGTGCCTCAAGAGTGTGAGGATGTGAGACTCTCCAAGCAGTGGTCTGTAAGTCCCTCCCATGAGGCTGGGAGAGAGATACACAGGGCTAGAGGTAAAGGATTTTCTCTACCTCTAAAACGAGGTGCTTACGACAGCTCTGGCTAAGCAGAGCAGGCTGGGTGCCACTCACTGGCAAAATAACAGGAGAGATGGACTACCAGTACGCATCTGTAATTCCAGTGCTGCTGAGGTGGAGACATGGGGATTACTGAGGACTGATGGCTAGGCAGTGGAGCTGAATCTTTGAGGCTGGGATTTAGTGAAGGACCCTGTCTAAGGTGGAGAGAGATGGAGAAAGACAATATCAACCTCTGAATGTCACATGTAGGCTCACACACATACAGAAGAGCACACACATTAACATACACACACACAATACACATATATGCACGTGTGTGTGCATGTGCATGCGTACGTTCACACACACACACACACACACACACACACACACACCACACAAAACAGAAATGCTAATAGAACTTCCTTCGAGGGACTATTGTGAGCTGCTTGAAAAAGGGTCAATGTGTCATGCTCAAACGTCAGGTAGCAGTATGTACTAAGTAACCTGTCCCCACTAAACGGTTTGCCAAAGGGGCCTTTGCAGTTCATACTTGTATCTCTCTCTTTTTTTTTTTAAAGATATACTCATTCCAAATTGAACTTAGAATTGCTTGCCAAATATAACACATTTAAGCAAATGTTTTTAATCAGAAATAGAAAGCTGAGAAAGTAGAAAAGAAGGGGAGTAACAGAAGAAACTCACCCAATGCTGTTTCTGCAATGGAGCGTGGCATTGCTCTCTGGGCTTTCAAACAACAAAGAAAACGAAGGGAACCAGATGAGGCTCACGATTCGTATCTCATAAAAGAAAGCATATTATTCCTTCCAAAGGAATAGATTTCCCCCTTTTATTTTAGATTCTAATAGAAACATAAAGGAAATGTACAGCAGAATCTTGAGTACTATTACTGGAAGAATGTCAGGAGCCTGGAGTGACTGACCTTTGTCTGTCTGGTGCCTGGCCACTGCCTGGTGCATGGGAACACCTGGTGAATGGATGGTGGGAAGTGTTTTCATCAGCAAGACTTCAAAGAGCCAGGCCCCTGCCTCAGATGATGGAACAGATGTCAATCAGGTTAACCCCTGCGTTGGGGGGGGGGGGGCTTTGAGAACTGGGAAGCAGACACGAGGACTTAGATTACCCTGCATGGTCAGAATACTGGCCTAGTTCCTGCCTAGCTTCTTCTAGTTCTTTCCAGGAGTCTCTTTACTGTTTTTCTACTCCAGACTTATCGAGAAAACTCTTTATGTAGCCCTCTGCTATGGGAACAAGTCAGAGCCAGGCTATTTTCCTGTGGCCCTCAGCCAAGGTAGGATGCCTTTGGGATCTTGCAGACAGGATGGCAAGTCACAAGGGACCATCTTTGTGTCTCCCGCCTAAGCAGTGTCTCCAATACCCCTACAGAAACATACTTCCCCATCAATGCACTTGTGTCTCGGGGACTGAGTTAACACATAGGTACCAGCCAGTGTGAAGGTCTCAGTTAAAATATTATGATCTGCCTCCCCGAGCCCAGGGAAATCTCATTATATATAAAGCAATCCCATTGGCCGGTGCGTTCTAACCCACAGACTGCAGAATCTGCGGATAGAGTTTGCCTGGGAAGTCGGACTGTCAGATTAATACATTGTGCGAAAATTGGGGCCAGAGGTCACCAGACTCCTGATACACAAATCTCCCTCTGAGAATCTCATTTCAGTCAGACTATCAGTTAGATTAGAGAGACCCTAATTATCCCACTGAAATTAAATTACTTTATGTTAGGGCGATATAATGAACAGCCATAAAAAGGATATACACAACCAATCATCTGATTATTCACAGCAAGACCAGAGCGTACACTAAAAGGACCTTGCTGATTATTGCCAGCTACTCCCTGTCACACACAAAAAGGGCAAATGCAGGAAGAGAATGGGATTCTGCACTGCTTCCACCTCGGGCTGCTCTTGGGTATTTTCCTGTCTTTCCGGGACAGGTGTTAGACTCCTGCTGTGCTCTTGGGCTGACCTGCTAAGAGGTTCTTCCCAGAGGCACCCACTGGGTCACTAAGAGGGTAAGAGGGATGTACTACCCACTGCTTTGGGGACTTGATTTAGCCATCTCCCCTGGGGCCTCAAGGCTTATAGCAGGAACATCCATTGCCCTGAACGTCTTCTTCAGCCTGGGGATCTTCACAATTGAGTCAAGTGATGGGCGATGTGGCTAGGGTATTTGTCCTCCACACAAATGCTAGCCTCCGTCAGTCTGTCCTTGTTAAAGTCAACGGCACTAGGTGCTACAGTTGGCTATCCTCAGAGCTCACTGACTTCACACAGTGGAAGCTGATTTCTTGTTCAAGTCCTGGGATGGCCCAGGTCAGTGGGTGTCGGGGAGAGCACTCTGCCCTATACAGTCACTCAACAAGCTTCTTCAGAGCTCAGCCCCTGAAATCAGGTCAGGGTTCTCAGCAGCAATGCTGTAGCATTTTGTGTCTGGCTGATTCTTCATGTGGAGGGGCTGGTCTGTACCTTGCAGGATGTTTGACTCCCTTGGTCTCTAATTAGTAAACGCTAGCGGCACATCTTCCCCCGTGAGACATCTAAAAATGTCTCCAGACATTGACAGTGGCCCCCAGGAAGGGGAGCAGAGTGGTCCCGGTGGAGAGCCAGTTCTCTAAGTCCATGGGAGTCTTCTTCATTCATTAGGGAGGTAGGAGAGACAGCAAAGAGGATTTGACCGAGAAA